TGTAGAGGCGGGGGTGGGGGGGGGCCCCGGGGACAGCGCTCAGCAGAAGGGCCCCCCCTCCCCCCGCTCTGACTGACCCGCGTCCCAGCTGCTCCATGGTGAGGCGGAGGTCGGAAACCGGCGAGAGGTCGGCGGGAAAGAGAGACTTGACCACGGCGGGTGAAGCGGGAGAAGCCGGGGAGAGAAGCAGGAGGCGGCGGCGGTAAGAACCGCCCGGTGCTGGATCCATGGAGCCGAGCTAAACCCCTCACCGTCCTCCTGTCAGCACGGCCCGCACCGCTTTGACCCCAGCCGCTACCCGTCGCCCGCTCCGAAGCTGGCGCCAAACTGCCCCTCCGCCAATCAAAACCCTCCTCCGCGCGACATTTGAAGGGGGCGGGTGTTTTTTCTTCAATCTCCCCGCCCGCCGCTTTCGTTGTGACCAGTAAGAACGCCGGCGGGCGCCTCACTCCCCGCCTCCAACTGTTGCTTGACGTCGCTCCTGCCCAATAGAGAAGCCAGCCAATGGGGCGCCTCAAGAAGCGTTCCTGAGTGCCAAAGGGGGGGGACTACATTTCCCAGCATGCAACGCGGAGGAGGGCAACGAGTTTCGCCCGTTGCCCTCCTCCGCGTTGCATGCTGGGAAATGCAGTCCCCGCTTTTCAGCCATATCTCCCACTGTCTCCCTTTAGCCGTCCCTCCACCCGCCCTGGGCCTGAAGGGAAGTGGGTAAAACTGGGAAAGGGGGGGAGGCATAAACACAACAGGTAGCTGGGTCTCGGTGAGCCGAGGAACCCTCCCCACATCATTTCTCCTCAGAGGAGATCTCTGTGAGAACAACAAACAGGCGGCAGCACCGGGGAAGCTGCGGCCGCTTTTGTGAGGCGTTCAGTGAGCAGCAGCCTGATAATAAGAAGCCAGCGTACGTCCCTGCGGCACTGAGACGGGATTTGTGGAGCAGTGGCACTTGTGGAATAGGAGTGGGAGAAGAGAGACGTGTCAGCATGTGAGCCACAGAAAGCAGGCGCAACTGGGCTCCAAATAACCCCTGCAGACCTTTTCTCGTGTCCTCTCCCTCCAAGAGGCTGTGATATTTACCCAGGCGCTGCTATTTGCCATACAAATGGACACGATGCTCAGCTTTTCAGATGACCCGTTGCCCCACCTTGCCTTTTCCCTGCCCTGCCTGCGGTCAGGGAGCAGGATGGAGGCGGCGATGGTTGTGCTGGGGAAAGGAGGGGACTCCTTGTGTGGGTCATCCCTCAGGCCTGTCTGGTTGTGGACAAGGCAGGTGCAAGGGGAGCAGTCCCAGCTCCAAAACACACAGTCCCATTTTACAGGTGGAGAAACAGCGTGATACAGTGAAGTGCTCGGGACAGGCAGCGTGGCTCCAGTACATCGTGTGTCTTGTCACCTAAGGGTTTGCAGGTCTCTGCCGTCAAGCCGAGCCCCTGGCAGATGTGCTCTGCTGGATCTCCCTGGGGTGGTTTCGAAGGCTGCTGTCTCCAGGGCTGATCACATTGGGTCCAGTGCTCTCAGCCTGACACAGGGACCTAAAGGCCTTGTCAGGGGATCCCACACCTCCACGTGTTCCTCTGCCTGGGCCCTCCCACCCACCAGATTCATGTGATGCTCCCAGTTGCTGGATTAGACAACATGGCATTTGCTCCCTTTCTGACCACCTAGGATCTCACAGATCCCCATCACACCCCCATCGCTGCTGCTCTTCCAGCCTGGAGAGTCTCAGGTGGTGCCCTGACTCCAGCTCTCCAGTCATCCCTGCCCCTCTGTGAACGTTTTCCTTTCAAGCAACAGTTTTTATGGTTTTACATGAGCAGTTACCACCACTATTAGCAGCTCTGTGGCTCAACCCCAAGTTCCTGGGTGTGGGGTGGCTGCATCCCCATGCCGCCTACAACACAGCACAACACAGTGAGCCAAAGCAAGCCATGCAGCGCTGCCAAAGACCAGCATGAGCAATCAGAGCATCTTCCCAGCCCCTCTCCTGCTTATTTGTGTGTGTCCTCAGTGCCCACAGAGACAGGTGGGACACTGTCACTGTGAGATCTCCCCAGGACACCAGCATGCAGACACCCCCAGACAGCACAACATATCTTTAATGCTCCTGAGGACCTGGCAGGAGGAGATGCAGCAACATGCAGAGGGGATCCAGCCCAGGCAGAGCTGCAGTGAGTCTGCAACGCTATGCTGCGTCATTCCCACACCTCTTGCCTATTCAGCTAGCCAAGGGCACGGGCAGGGGACCGGGAGGCATCTGACCCTGTCAGGCACACAGCTGGATGTAGGCTTCTTGTGACCAGAGCCAAAAGTAAGGGAAGACCTTCTCTGTGAAGGAGGCCTTGAACTGCAAGATCTGCATCCCGTTCTGCGCATTGTAGAAGGTCACTTGGCCTACTTCGTAGTCCAGGTGGACCTTGATTCTCCGGGGCTCTTGCTTCAGTGCCAGAGGGGCAGGGGGCATGTGGAGTGCCGTGTACTGGTGATTCCAGTCCAGCCGCAGGGCCCAGATCTTCCCCATGGCCATGCTGAGCGATTCCTTCCTCTGCACAGACTCCACCGCCACCCCCACAGCCCAGCTGTCCCCATCCCCTACCTCCACCTCCCAGTAATGCTTCCCAGCCGTGAACCCCTGGGACCCTAGGACGCTGGGGCTGCCCGTGAATCTCTTGGGGCTGTCAGGGAGGTTTTGCTGTCCGTCTCCCAGCCACACGGTTTTGCGGTCCTTCGAGAGGATCAGGTATGGGCTTGCCGTCTCTGGGTCCAGTGTCACCTTCACTAATGCACAACAGAGCAAAACATCAGTCCATTGCCTGCTGAGGAGCGAACCAGCACCTCTCCCTCTTCCATGGGGCTGGGACATGTACTCTGTACACAGCAGTCACGCATGCCCCACAAGCACAAACATGCAGCACCTGCAGCCCCCTCAGGTGGCATGGGACACAGGACCCTCGCTGCCCTCCCCACTGGGACCCACGGGTGAAGCAACGCTCCCTGAAGCAGGACTGAGCCAGGCAGCCTCCCCACGCGTAGGGGACAGACACAATGGACTTTGCTGAACCTGCTTTGCTAATCCCGTGCTGGATATTTCTGGGTCCAAGTGTGATGGGGCTGCAGCCAGGCTGGGTGTGTGGAAGCAATATATCCCCGTGGGTGTGTGGAAGCATTGCCTGCAAGGCAGCAGTGGTGCCAGGCCAGTCCCTGCTCCAGTGACAAGGGGGACAAATGGTCACCAAAGGGAAAACCAGCTCCTAACCCCGCTCTGCCCCGTAACCAGGCAAAGCCGGAGCCACCAGTTCATGTGGAATGTTCTGCTGCCATCCTGCGGCCATCCCGCAAGGCCACAGAGGTGTCACCACCCCAGGCCCTTTGCTAAATAAACCCAGTCCTCCGGGGCCCCGGCTCACGGCGGGGACCGCAGTGTTGGGGAAACTGAGGCACATCAGGTCCCTCATCTCAAAAACTGAGAGGGCAGAGACCAGCCTTGGCACAGCTGGACCCGAGCCCTGTGATGCTGCCAGGACTGTGTGGACCCCGAGCACCTGCAAAAGCATTTCCGATCTGTGCCTAAAAGCCAGCTCAAAATGCATATGGCCCCTCTGCTTAACTAGTCACAGCCTTACACATTGCGGCATAAGAATAAAGTCTCCAAAGACAGGGAAGCCGAGGGCCTTGTGCTGCCCTGGCCCTCGCTTGGTGTTAGAGGACAGCATCGCTGGGCATTGCCTGACATGGGGATGGACCTGCATTTTTGTAGCAGGCCTAGTCAAAACGAAGGGACCCGGTTTTAGACAGACCCTGGATTTAGAGGTTGTGGTGTGAGCCCATCCCTGCCCCAAGGATGGAAGGAAACTCATTCTGGAAAGCTTTTCTCCCTCATTTGTGCCCATCAGCTCTAGAAACTTACCCCTTTCTCTGTCCATCTCGCTCAGCAGGTTCACTAGAGGAAGGAAAGGAAGACGCATGAGTCTCCTCCTGTGACATCTTTCCTGCTCCCCACCAGGACAGCAAACCAGACATGGAGCTCTCTCCCCAGCTCCCACAGCCCCAGGCTCCAGCAAAACCCATGTAGGAGATGCATCCCACATGGAACAGGCATGTTTTGCTCTGAAACCCCAGGCAGAGGCACTGGGTAGCGAGGATCTCCTGCTGCAGCCAAGCCTGGGGGAAGCACAGCACAGAGACAGCAGTGGCCCACCTGGGACCCAGACACCGGCTACACAGCAAGGTATTGCTCGCCACTTCGTTGCTTTACCTTTGAATTTGTCCACTACAGCCACGACCAGCTCGTTTATCTCAGAGAGGCTCTTAACCGTCCTCTGCAGCTCCAGAGAAACCGGCTCTGGGATCGGGGCCCTCGCCACCTCGCAGCTGAGGGGGAAACAAGACGGAGAGGAGCTCTGACCCCAGCAGTCAGCCAGCACCTGGGGCCAGGAGGGAAACAGGGGGAAAATCCCCTACAGCAACAGAACTCTGGGGAGCTGTGTCCCAGCTATTGGCACGGGAACCCCATCTTTAAGAGGGGTGCAACGACCTCTGGTTCCAGATAACATCACATTAAATCCCAAATACTCAGGAGGGCAAAGCCACCTCCCTCCCGGCAGCTTGGCTGCTTGCAGCATTTCCAAACCTCTGCCCAAAAGAGCTGCACGGGAGGACAGCGACGCTGAGCCTGTTTCGTACCTGCTCAGGGTTTTGCCAACATCCTGGAAAAGAGAAAACACCAGGTCAGCTCTGGCACCACCGAGAAGGACCACGTTCCCCAGGGCAGTGAGTTACAGTTGCTCCCATGCTTCATGAAGCAGGGTGATGGGGATCAGAGAGGGAGTCACACCACTCTGCTGGTGACTCACTCACCCAAATCTTTGCCTTCCCTCAACTCACACTGCAGGCCCAGACTCACACCAGCCACACCACACACCGCGGTGTCACAGCCTGGCCGCTGGCACGCCGGCCAGTGCCGTGCTGCCCTTGGCTCTAAGGCTCTGGGCTGCACGGGCACTGGGATGCAGAGGGGGCCCCCAGCCTCACCGGGGGGGGTCACAGCACCCAGGTGGGTGATGCAGCCTCACCATAAGGAACTCGACCACCGGCTGGTCACGTTTCTTCTCTATCTCCACAGTCAGTGTGTCCAGCAGCGATTTCCTCTCTGAAACACTGGAGACGTATTCGTGGCGCTCCTTGGCGAGCTCCCTCTGCGCCTGGTCAAGCTTGGCCAGCAGAATGCCCTCCTGCTCCTGCAGGAACTGCTGCAGCTGCTTGAAGGTGTCCTGCAGCCTCTGCCGCTCCGAGGCCACCTTCTCCTGCAAGGCACCCACACGGAGGCCCTTGAACCACCCCATCCTCCAGGACCCTCCGCATGGGCACGGGGACCTGGTGCTGTGGAGAGGGGGCAAGGATCATCGGGAAAAGGAGAAGAGTTTTGGGGAAGGAAAAGCTGGAAGAGTGGAGGGGGGAGAGGGGTGGCAAGTCCGGATGTTGATGGACCCAAGATGACAGCAGAGTCTGAATGAGAGCAGGATGGAAGAAGGATATAAGGGACGGACAGAGAGGGAGAGAGAAAAGTTGTTGTTATGGAGTGTTGTTATTGAAAAGGAGACAAGTATATATGGGGAGAGGGAAAGATGGGATGCACCCATGAGGATGGGTAGATAAGCAGGCAGGGGGGCCAGTGTGCGCACAGAGAGAGAAACACATACCAGCAGGCCATCACTTTTCTCTTCTCCTTTGGGCTTAAATTCTTCTTTCTCTTTTTGTAGAAAAACCAGGTTGCTCTGGAGTGTCTCCTGGAGGGGGGGGGGGGGGGGGAAGTGTATTTGGTGATTTTGGGGTTACGTTTGCAGGAGTGAGATGATGTCACCAAGCAGCCTCTGTGGGGACAATACCGCTCTGCAGGGTCACCGGGGGTGGGTTTTGAGCTCAGCTCTGTGGGGAAGGGAAGAGCCCAGAGATGGCACCCACCTCTCTCCCAGCACGCCTTACAGACAGGCTAGGGAGATCCCCAGGCACAGCTGTTTTGGCCAGAATCATTTCTGGAATAGCTTCACGTGGAAACCCTGAAGTTTGTGGTTTGGTTTTTTGTTGTTTTTTTTTAATTAGGAAAAACAACTTTTGGTGTTGGAAGTGGGATTTGTGGGAAGAGGTTTGCAGTGACAGCAGCACTGTGTCTCAGACGCACTCCATAAATTCACCGGAGTATTAAAAAAAAACCAAACCTTGTGCTCCTCCAAGCCGTGCCCTGTGGCAGAGTGGGCTCCTGGCAGGGGGGACCCCAGCCTACATGTTGGGGGGAGACCATGTTCCCCATAGCTGCAGCCCCAGCCCTGTCCCTGGCTGGGGACATATGGGGCACTAGGGACCTTGCGGGGCCAGGGAGGGGTGAGGAGCGAGAGGGACCTGCGCTCCTGGATGGGCTGGGGGGGGGCGATGGGCAGTGGGAGCCATGGGAGAATCAGCAGCCCCAGCAGGGTGGCAGGGACCCCAGCCCGCGGCAAGACAGGGACCCCAAACCGTGGCCAGATGGGGACCCTAACCCGTACCCAGAGGGGGACCCCAGCCAGCAGCCGGATGGGGACCCACATCTGTGGCTGCACAGGGACCCTAACCCGTGCCCGGAGGGGACCCAGACCTCTGCCCCAAGGGGACCCCAGCCCACGCTCAGATGGGACCCCAGTCCGCGTGCAGAGGGGACCCAGACCCATGCCTGGAGGGGACCCAGACCCATGCCTGGAGGGGACCCCAGCCTGTGCCCGGAGGGGACCCAGATCCATGCCCAGAGGAGACCCCAGCCTGTGCCCGGAGGGGACCCAGATCCATGCCCAGAGGAGACCCCAGCCCGTGCTCGGGGGGACCCTGACCCCTGCCTGGAAGGGACCCCTGAC